TGGGTGGTGAACTCTTTGATGTTCTGGCAGTAAGTGTTAATCTGGTCTGCAATGAGCAACGAATCCATCCTCTCAAGAGCCTGGTGTCGCTTGCAGAGTTTGGACCGGTCCTCTTCTGGGAGAGGGGGTTCTCTTCAACTCTGAGGCTGCATATTGTCCTGCCAGCAACGCTGCTGGTACTGATGTTTCTGCTGCTGCTGTTTGCTAGTATTCCACATGTATGTGTTGTACTTGGCTATGTCTTGGCTCATTTCATCCACTCTGTCCATCAGCAACTGCAGATTCTTCCCCAGATGATTGCTGCTAGCGGCTGAGCAATTCGTGCTTCTCCGCCACAGCTGACTTCTTCTCCAGCTCCCACATCAGGACATTGATCAGATGTGAGTTTTTAATTACTACTGGCACTTCTTCAAACTTGTGCTCAAAGGTGATATTTGCCTTTTTCAGTGCTTCAGGGGGAAAAAGTCCTTCTCTTTACAGACTTCCATCAGTTTAGAAGTCAGTCTGTACGCCTTTAGCGAGGGAGACCCTTGTGCAGTTTTTATGGGATCGTAAATGCGAACGACAGATTATTCAGTGGCGGACTGGTAGCTGAACTGAGTCCAGCAGCGCCCGGGTAACGAATGAGCCATACATAGGACGTGGACTGGTACCAGCCTCCATGGAGATGGTCGATGTTCACCCGGCAAAGGCTGCTGCGCATCTTTTCCATCTGATCCTGGACTTCATCAAACTCGGCGTCATCCTCTGTGTGCTGGGAAAGGGATGCGAGGGAGACCCTTGTGCAGTTTTTATGGGATCGTAAATGCGAACGACAGATTATTCAGTGGCGGACTGGTAGCTGAACTGAGTCCAGCAGCGCCCGGGTAACGAATGAGCCATACATAGGACGTGGACTGGTACCAGCCTCCATGGAGATGGTCGATGTTCACCCGGCAAAGGCTGCTGCGCATCTTTTCCATCTGATCCTGGACTTCATCAAACTCGGCGTCATCCTCTGTGTGCTGGGGGAAAGGGAAGCAATTGGTAATTTCAAGTCGATCTTCTACACCCAGGCCAAGAAAGCACCCCTTAAACCGCCTCGGTTCCTTGTCCTTCTTGATAGTGTTTGATTATCTTTAATACTACACCAAGCCATCTATCACTTGCCTCACGGCCGAATCTCCAGAGCCGCCTGTGTGTGCCTTTCCAGGCCGCGCTGGAGGTAGAGCCGCAAGAGGAGGCTGAGGCGGCGATAGTGCCTGCGCCTTCCTTACAGGACGCCACCTTTCCAGCCGGACAGGAAGAAAGAGCAAAAAATTGACTCTTTAAAGGTTTAGACCTATGACTGTCCCCTGTGCGATGGTCTAAAAATGCTTCTCTCGGCAGTTCAACCACAAGTCACATAGCACAGAATAGCATTTTAGGAAAACTACTTTTCTCCATCTCTGAAATGAGGCCTCTACCTGGCCTAGTCTCTGTCGTGGTTTCCCTTGTTCTGTGGATGAGAACTCTATCTGGCTGTCTTGTTCAGCCAGCTTGGTAAAGGAATCAGTTATGTCTGCAAACTGAGCCTATCCTCTCAATTGTGTGACTCTGTTTATGCAATGGGGCAAGCCAAGGCTGGTGTTTCTTTTCTTGTTGTGGAAGCCCAGGACACTTCCTTTTGGTTCCTGGTCACCTTCCTCCACTGGGGTGGGCAGCCCTTTTCAATGAACAAACCCTGTCAGGGATCTCCTGGGAGCAAGTACACTGTACTCTCCCTGGCACACTCAGCCTTTGGGTAGCACAGAAGCAGAGTGACTCAGAGAATGAAGAGATTCCTTCCCAGGGGACTTGTTCAGCTGACAGCAGGTCTGATTAGAAATTTACCTGTTGACACAAAACAAAAAGAACAGACTAATCCAGTGAAAGGTGTACAATCAAATAGGTCGGCCCTCTCTGAGTGAAGGGCTGATGTTGGAGTTAGCACTGTGGTCTATTATTGAATAAAATCAATTACCTGCCTGCCAGGGGACAGCGCACTACAGTGGAATGAATGTGCTTTGTATCCAAGCTCTGCCACTTTCTGGATGAGTAATCCTGAGCAAGCTATGTCAGCTCACTAGGCTTCAGTTTTCCTTTCAGCAGAACAGAACTGATAAAACCAGCCTTAGAGAGTTTGAGGGAATGATTAAATAAGATCAAGCATGGAATGTGGCCTGCAAAGTTCTGGGTACATAGTAGTCCCTCTTAACATATTTCCCTTCTTTGTACCTTTTTCTGGTGGCTTTTATGAAAGCATGGAAAATGGGAAGAAATTAAGGCAGGAAAAAAAAAAGAAAAAAGAGGAATCCAGGCAGGGAGGGCTGGAAGGGAAAATCTGAGAAAAGCTTGGGATTTTCAGAAACCAAAACAATGTTTGTATTTTGTGTTATTGTAAGTGCCTTTTCTGTCTATACAATGTTTTTCTCCCTGTATTTGTTTTCTACTGTTGTTTAATAAATTACCCCAGAGTTTAGCAACTTCAAGAAGCACAGTCATTCTCTCAGTTTCTGTAGGTTGGGAATTGGGGGAGGGGATTGATCAGCTCATCCTCAGGGTTTCTCATAAGACTGCAGCCAACCCAGGGAAGAAGAATCTTATTCCAGGATACCTCCATGGTTGCTGGCATGATTTAATTCCCTATGGAATATTGGATGAGTGCCTCAGTTCCTTGCTGGCTATTGGCCAGAAGAAATCCTCAGTTCCTCATCATATGGGCCTTTTGATGGGGCAGCTTACCATATAGGAGCTACATTTATCACAATGTACAAAAGAAAGAAAGAGATCACAGGCTTTCATTAAAAAAGATCTAAGAAGTGATATGCCATCATGTTTCCCATATTCTAGTCATTAGAAGTGAGTCACTGTGTCTATCCCACACTTTAAGGTAAGAGATTATATGACAACCTGGATACCAAGAGGCAGTAAATGCTGGGATCAATTTTGGAAGGCTGACCTTTTTGCGTACTGTTGGAGCACAATAATCCAGGTGTCGAGGGCATAGGTTTTAGAGGCAGCAGCCCTGTAATCAATGGTTAACATTATAATAATGCCTAATGTTTGCAGTGTACCTGATAATTGCTCAAGACCCTGCTTCCTCACTTACTAGCTATGTGACCTTAGGGAAGTGACTTGGCCTCTATAAGCCTTTGCTTACTCACCTGTAAAATGGGGATAATAATAGTTCCCTTCTCACAGGATTGTTGTGATGATAGAATGAGTCAATACAGGTAAAGTGCCAAGCAGAGTACCTGGTATGTGCTTTTTTAAACACCCAGCTCAAATACCTATTTTAACACCTTGCCTTTTACACCCAGCTCAAATACCAACTATTCCACAAACCTTCCCCAACTACTCTCCACTTTCTTGTTTCCTTTGGCACTTGATTCCTGTCTCCTAGCTTTCTGGCCCAATGGCCCTGTATTCCATTTACCTGAACATATACCCATCACCATACTTTATCCTTATGCTCCTGAAGCCAAATCAATGCTGAACACACAAAAGGAGCTCAACAAATCCAAATAGACTGAGCAAACAACCTCACAAGAAAAAGGTCAGTCTGATCAGGACACACCACACTTTTGGTTTCACCACCTGATTGAGGATTAGGGATTTTTGTCAGGTGAAACTCTAATGTGAAATTGTAAAGCTGCTCCTCAGATGAAACTACCAATTGCTCAAGCTGAAAGTAACAATTCCTCACAACTAGCAGACCAACCCATCAACAACCAGCTCTGAAGTCCTGCGCTAACGGGTGCGGTGCTGCTGGTTTGGAAGCTGACCAGAGACAGTAAATATGATGGTTGCCCGGGTGTATAAACATAAAACCAAGTCCTTCCACCTCACCCCTGAAACATTGCTATCTCAGCATCAGGGACACCACAAGTGTCTACTTGCCAGATCCTGTCAAATGAATGTACAAGGGCCTATTACCCCCACCTCGACCAATGTACATACAAAGGACAAAACCTCAGTAGCTTGAGTTTTTATAAGAGACTAAACAAGGGGTTGGGAGTATCGCACAATGCTACAGTACCTGACTAGCACATGAGACTCTGGGTTCAATCCCCAACACTGAGGAAAACAATAAACCTAAACAGTATGTGCATTCAGAAAAAGACAACATTTTCTAAGGTAAGTATCAGACAAGAGCTTGCATTTGAAAAGGAAGCCTTTCCTCACTTCCAAAACCACATTCTTTTCACCATTTAGAGGCTGAGCAGGGCTAGAAGATCTGTTGGAAGTCCTCACTCAGCATAATACAGAAAGAACATCTAGAGGTCAGTCTGCTAAGCCACATGGCACCTTGTTCCTCATTGGTATACATCTTAGTGCAGCAATACAAAATGTTTTCGGAAGCTACATGAAGAGTGGGAAAGAAAACATGCATACCTGAAGACGCACAGAATAGAAGTCAACTTCAACACTTGGCAGGACTTAGAGGATTATAGTGCTAAGATTGGCATTCAAACAAAAAAAAATAAAAAAACACTTTTTACCCCATTCTTCTCACATTTTTTTTCTACCCATTCATTCATTCATTCATTCATCCATTGACCCTGGAGGCAATACAGCTTTATTCCCCACTGCCACTAGGGTATTAATGGCTTTTAACCAGGGGAATCTCCATAACAAGATATTATTTTTAAGCTATCTGCAATCAATTGGATGGAATTAGAGAAGATGAATTCTGCCATCCAGATGAATTCTGAACAGACCCCATGGAGAAGAGATAACAGAGATTATCTAAGAAGTAGAATGAGTACGATTTTTTGATTGGCTGAAATGTGGGTCATAATAAAAGACTGAAAAATAACTGTGTTCAGGTGACTTTCAGGGTGACTACACTACTAAAACAGATTGATAGTACAAGCAAAGAATGGCTTTGGAAAAGCAGTGATGAAATACTTGAGGAACTGTTTTGGTGAAAAGAGCCACATGTAATGATCCTAAGATTTCATTTATATATCTGGTTACAAGGATAGGTGACAGGATATGTTGGTAAGGAGAGTTAGCTGTTGCCTCGGTGGTCCACTGTGGATTGATTCCCAGTTGCATCACTTGAAGTCGTCTGTCCTATATAGCAGGACCTGGTAGTGAGAGAGGATGAGAATGGACCAGTACATTACCCTCAGAGGCCCAACCAGAAGTTAGAGACCCGACCATATCTTACTTATAGTGGGTCCCATGTGGTACTTTCACATCTTCTAAATATTTAGAGGTTGAGTGGACATCTGTTAGTAGTGGATAACTGAGTATGTGAGGGTAGACGAGTGCTTGGGAGAGTGTCTTCAGGCCAGTCCTAGAATAATTTGTTCATAGCTTAAGGGATAGAATGGAGAGAGGAATTCTCCTTTCCAATCAATCTAGTCTTCTCTCACCTTCTGCCTCAGAACCTCTGAAGCACCTTCCCAGAATGCCTTCCTCTTCCGCACTGGGCAGGATCATTAACCTGAATGGAGTTATCCTTTGGAACAATCTACTTTGGGCTTGTTAGGTTGTCTAACTTTTGTTTAGCTTGGGAATTCTTTGGTTGTGTTTATTTATTCTCACATTGTTTCAATCGCATCTAGCAAAATAGCAGTTTTTGTTACTGCTGATGGTTAGTTTTAGTAAGAGGGGGATGGGGGATGCCTTCCTATGCGGCTAAAGTGTAAAGGTAGAAGCTCCCTCTGCTGTTTGCTTTTGCTCCTGCAGCCTCTGCCTGTCCCAATGTTTCAGCCCTTGTGAGGTCACATTGTGTCACAGGGAGAAAGGATCACGGAGCTTCAAGATGTTCTTACTTTCAGAATCAACAGTCAGTGTGCATGTTAGACCCACCATGCTTAAAATTCTTCCCATCGCTTCCTGCCTCTTTTGCTCAGGGCCCTACCACTCAGCTAAGGACTAAAACATACTCATGTCAGTGAGAGACCACCATAACAGAGCTGTGTGGGGACTCAAAGGAGTACCCAGCCAAGGGTCCCAGATTCAAGTTCCTCAAGAGATGGGAGTACCTCCCAGAAGTTAATTCCATAGTGTCCTTGCCCTTCCTCTGTGCCGAGGCAGATGCAGGCTGATCCCTACAAGAAGGAAAGCTGGGCTCCTGGAGGCTGCCACCTTGTTGACTCTACTCCACGCAGGTAAGACACCACTCTGAGGTATTGCTCTGCTAGGCAGGAAACAACTCAGCCTGTGGCCCCCAGATTCTAGCAGCAGCATCACCAGGGAACTTAAGAGAGACAAATTCTCAGAATCTCTGGGGTGCACCCTGCGGTCTGTACTCTAACAAGCACTGCAGAGTCTGAGAAACCTCAAGTTTGATAATCCCTGGTCCAGAGAGAACTGTATGGCCACCCCTGGGAGCCTTATTTGACAGCTGATACTGGGCCTCTCCTGCTTCAGTCAGCCTTGAGTCACCGCATTTCAGAGGTAGTAATTACACTCTCCTTCTCTGTACGAAGGAAACCATTGAGAATACCCTCCACATACTCCCTCAATCACCTGAGAGAAAGGGGATGTCAACAGAAGGGACTCTTCAATGGAAGTGTCCTGAGAGATGCTCGCTCTGATTCTCAGGGCTCTGCAAAACTGCTCAGTTCTCAGTCTGACTTTTCCAAGCCCATTACTCAGATACTCTACAACCTTGCCTAGTCCTCTTCTCCTTGGGGTGATGTTGCATTCAGCTTTCTCTTCTTTGTTCACAGTTTTCACTAGGAGATAGGACAGGAAGAGCATGGCTGTGGAAAAAATTACAATGAGGTTTGATTTTTAAAATCAATTCCAGCATCTAAAAATATCTGTCAGTCATAGAGAGATAAGAAGTCACTAAAAAGATAGGAAACATTTCAGGATGGAAACACATCCCTCTCGGCCTGGTCATATGTCATGGATTTCTTTCAGATATGCACTACATTGAAGTCTTTTTAGCAGGCTACAATGAAGGGAATGTGTTGCCCCCCCGAATATTGATAAGTGTTGGTCTTCAAGAAGGGAGATGGTGGAAGGAGAAAAGGAGAAAAATAGTCTCTTTATTAATATTAGTATTTTTGTGAACATCATGGGTCCCTTGGGGGAGATTCTACTTTGAAGACACAGCTTTATCACTTCTTGGCATTTTGGCTAAGATCAAGGGAAGACACAGCTTTCTTTCAAAGAGCAAATTAATGACAAGCTCACAGTACAAGCACACTCCATAGAGAAAGACAGAAAGTCTCTCTGCATCCTTCCATGTATTGCTTCTCCAATGCTCCTTTGTTTCAAAGCACCGTGTTCCCCATCCTTTTCTTAGCTGGTGAGCAGGTACGGGAGAGCACAAAGGGAAAGCTATTCCTCCTCACCAAGTATGGAGGAGTCGGTTCCCCAGGAGGCTGTAATCTAATGCTGTAGCTGGATGGAGTGGGGAATGCACTAGGGGAAATGATCCATAGTAGATGGAGGGTCCTTGCAGACTGCTCTCCAGAGAAGTGGGCCTGAGTAGGCTTGCTCCTCTCAGAGGTATTGGTGCCAGGTTGGACATGAAACAGGAAATAAAAAATGAGAAAGAGAAGGTCTTACACCTGATCTGGAAAGGGAAGTTTGGGGTATAAAAAGAGTGCTTCTCATACACACACACACACACACACACACACACACACACACACACTCAGAGCTACTCCTGTTTTGTTTTCTAGTGATCCCACTTCATTCCAGAAGAGCGGTAAATCCTTCTATTTCCTGGTCTCAGGAGGAGTGGAAAGCTAGTATTTCTAGAAGATAAACATTTTTCCTGGTCTAAAAACGGTCAGTCTTACTGAAGATACTATATTAGATATCCTGGAGGTGGGGTGTGCATAGGGAAAGGATGGAAGTTGAGCTGAGTGCTCTAAACTCGCTTATCAGTTCTAAGTTTACCTAACATATCTCATCCTTCTTTAAGATTGAGAACACTAAAATAAAAATAAAACTAAGGCATTTTTAAAATTTGCAGGACATTCAACTTCCAGCTTCTCCAATAACTTCTTCCAGACACCCTGGCAAACTGTCTAGAAGTCTCTAGTCATTACTCTACAGTTACAGTCACGTTGGGATTCCAGCAGAGTCTCTGAAAATAGATCACCCCATTTTGAGATCGCCCCCTACTTGGGAGCAATTACCCTATGATAGGAATTGACACTATCCCACAAAGCAGAAGCCATTATTCCATGGAAACCAGATTGCTCTCTCAACTGATAAGGATTTCCCTGGAGCCACCTTACAAAAACAAAACTGATCACTGTGCTAGTTAGGGTTCTCTAGAGGAGATACGCAAGGGAATTTATTAGGTAATCGTACAGGATCAGAGGCAGGAGAGTCCAAAGTGGCCATCTATGGGATCAAAAGCAGGAGAATGCAGCAGCTTCTCAGAAGAAGATCGATGCCACAGAATAAGAGCTGTCAAGGATGTAGCACAAGTCCAAGATCAAAGGCCTAGAAGCTCACTGAAGGGTCACTAAAGTGAGTCTGTGCTGGATAGCTGAAGAAACTATTGACCTAGAGATCTATGTCTACAGGTAATGGCAACAAAGTATGTGCAGCAATACTGAAGCTCTTCAAAATGGAAGTACTTCCTTCTCCTCTTTTTATTCTGTCCAGGCTACAAACCTATTCGTTGGTACCACCAACAATCAAGGTGAACCTTTCCCTCTCAATTCTCTGGCTTACGTATCAGTCATCCACAGAACTGTGCTTTACCCATCTGCTAGATGTATTTTAATCCATTCAACTTGACACGACAAGATGAACAATCACAATCTAACCCTTGTAATTTGACAGCCAGAGACATCTCCTAATTTCATTTCTTTGAAAAATTTCTGTAATGATTGTACTAGTTTCTACTCCCATCGACAATGCAGAAAGGTTGCTTTTTCACCACAAACATGCCAGCATTTGTTATTGTTGGATTTCCTAATGATTGCCATTCTTTCCAGAGTGAGACAGAATCTTAGCATTAATTTGTATTTATTTAATGGCCGGAGATGTTGAACATTTTTTTATATATTTGCTGACCATTTGTATTTCTTCTTTGAAGTATTTGTTCATTTCTCTTGTCCATTTCTTGGCTGAGTCTTTAATTTTAGGTGCTTTTATTTATTTATTTTTAGTTCTTTATATATTCTACATATTAGTCCCCTGTCTGAGGGGTAGCTGGCAAAGGCTCTTCCCCATTCTTTAGGTCTCTCCACTCTAAGGATTGATTGTTTTGCTGTACAGAAGATTTAGTCTGATAGGATACATTGTTGTCTTGTTCTTGATAAAATGATTTTATTTTTCCCCATTTAGTATAATGCTGGTTATTGGTTTTTCATTAGTAGCCTTTATCATATTAAGGTATGGTCATTCTATTCAAAACTCAAGAAATTCTTTACAAGTATAGTATACGTCCTCCAAGTTCATGCTATGTACCTCACCTTTAGGAGCCTTCGAGAGTTGAGCCTGGTTATAGGCTTAGAGACAAAAAAGGAATGGTCCTTACTGTTTCCACTGGCAACACAGGATTAGTTTTCTCAGGAATAGGTGGAGAAGCCAAGACCACAGGGGATGGCATGGGGTGCCTCTGCCAATAAAAGTGGGGAAATCTCTTCTGCTGGCAAAATTATCTCATCATAATTTAGTTCAATGCCTCCAGCCTCATCAGATTTCTCCCAAGCATCTCCATCTCAACTTATGGGATCTCAATGTCTTCTGATCAATACCCTCAGTTTAACTGCAGATACCCTTTAAGGATGAGCATTAAACTTGCACAGTAATTCAACCAATTGCATTATGAGAGCTTGTGTTTGTTTTTAGGCAACTTCAGCCCTACAGCTAAAAAAGAGAATATTTTCCTTCAGAACACATTTAGAAACCTTTAGATTATTGTCTTAGTCACTTTTCTTATTTCTGAGACAAAACACCCAATGCCCAAAGTTAAAGAAGGAAAGGTTTGTTTCAGCTCACAGTCTCTAGAGGATTCAGGCCATAATTGGCAGACTCCAAAGCAGGACAGCACATAGCACAGGGACTTTGCAGAGTAGGCAGGACGCAGCAGAAGCAAGCTTCAGCAACAGCAGCCAGCCTGCCTTCCCTCTCTCCCTTTATATTCCATACAGGCTATAAATTTATGACTGGTGCTGCCCACACCCAGGGTGGGGCTTCCATTACCCACCCCTTTAATCCCATTTTCAACCCTTAATCCATATTCACATGCCCTAATCTAGTCACCTATGAAACTCCCCACCTATTCTGATACATGAGGCTTTAGGGGGACATCTAAATACAAGCCATAACAATTATGAATGCATGTCTAGAGCTAGGAATTTGAATCTTTAAGATCATTATTTTCCTTTATTACTTTGTCCAGAGATACTAAGCACACCAGCCAGCATTGTTATATTTCTCACTCTCTCAAAAATGTTCAACAGTATTATATATAGAATCACTAAATTCCTTGCATTTTATAAGTGGCAAATTAGAATAAGCAAATGGCTCTGCATTGCACATTACTTTAAAGAGCTCACGACAGTTTATCATTACTCACCACTCTACCAGAAGAGGCTGTGGCAATTTTAGGTCTCATTAAATTAGAAAGGCAATTCCAAGAACCACTAAACCAATAGGAGAAATTCAACCTTACAATTCTGTTTCTCTAGAACCACTCCTAGTTCCTTTATTAGAGTTCTCTAGAAGAACAGAATCAATAAAAAAATGTGTATAATTATGAAAAGGGATTTGTTGGGTAAGATAGAGGATAGAAAGCAGGATAATCCAGCAGCTGCTTAGCCAAGAAGATGGAAGACACAGAGTATGAAAGATCAAAATTTCATCAAGAGTCCAAGATCAAAGGCCTGGAAGCTCACTGGAGGGCACCAATGTGAGTCTGCATTGGAAGGCTGAAGAAATTACAGACTTTGAGACTAATGTCCAAAGGTGATGGCAGCAAAGGATGGACCAGCTCAGAAATACTGGAGCTTTTCAAAATGAAAAGCTTCTCCAATTTTAGCCCATCCAGGCAATATTGGTTGGTGACATCACCAACTAGGGTATGTGTCTCCCATCAGTTTTTGACCTTCATGTCTGTACATCACAGACATACCCAGAACTGTGTGTACTAATCTGCCAGGCATTTTTTTTTTTTTTTTGTACCAGGGATCGAACTCAGCTTCTTGCAAAGCTTCTGCTTGCAAAGCTGAGTTAAATCCCTGGCCCTTGCCAGGCATTTTTAGTACATTCAAGTTGACATATCATGATTAATAGTCATAAACTCCCAAACTCTAGCCCACCCCAGCAACCCAATAAAAGCTGGCCCCTTTCCTTTGTTAATGATCCTGTCTGATTTTCTCTCTTAGTGCTATTCCCTCTTCACCTCTTCTCAAGCTGAAGTCCCTTCCACATTTCCTTTTCCTTTTCAGTTAAAGCTTTTGCCTGTGAGTTTTTGCTCTTTGCCTTGGTTTTAATTTCTATTATCACCAACATAGAAATTCTCTTATGTACTAGTATTATTAGTCTCTTTCCTATCCTTATTTAAAATTGTATTTAGAAACTGGGCATCTAGTCTCAGCTAGAGCCATCTGGGTATATCTCTATGATGTGGTATCATTGAGAAATTTTCCAGAGAGCTTAGCTTCCCAACCAGGTGGCTGATTTATCTAAGCAATCTTGTTACTTTTAATTTGAAAGAGTTCCTTTTTCTTTGTCTTTCATGACCTTGAAATTTTCTGAGAGTACATGTGAATTGTTTGGTAGACTGTTACTCTGCGTTTGTCTGATGTTTCCACCTGATTAGATTCAAATTATGCATTTTTTTCAGGAATGTTCCAGAAAGGATGTAGCCTTCTCTGAACTTCATGATGAGAGGCATGTAATGCCTTTTTGTCCCATTAATATTGGTGCTCCTTTTGATCAATTGGTTAAGGTGATTAACTGTCAGATTTTTCTATCATAAAAATTACTGTTTTTCCCTTCTTTAATGGGTATTTTATTAGAAGATGCTTTGGGATTGTGTAAATATCCTGTTTCCCATTACACTTTAGCCAACTAATTTTAGGTTTTATTGATGAGTCTTGCCTTCAGTAATTATGACTGTGATGGTACCTAAATGATAATTTACCAATACCATTATTCTTGCCATATGTTCTTATTAGTAATCATTACATGTTAATGTGTCTTCAGCCTCTCAGAGAAATAGGTCCTCTAGTAGGGGACCAGAAGACTTGCCTTTCAATTAATGATCCCAGAGTTTGGGACACGGATTAAGTTCAATGGCACCATGCCTGTCTCTCAAGCACAAGGTCCTGAGTTGAATCCCCAATACTGCAAAAAATAAAAAATAACAAAAAGATCCCAGAAGTAGATTGAACAATGACAGAACATAGCAATGTCATGGGATCCATAGTATGAGGACTGTGGTTTCCATAGAATGGAATGAATGTATCCACCATTACGACCAAATTGGCAAACTAGGGTGAAGCAATCTGGTGCAGTCCTGCACACCTCTCAGGATCATCCAAAATAAACTGCCCCAGTACCTAGTACCTTCTTAGTCACACTGAAGAAGAGGGCAGCTTCATTACACTCTCAGAAAGCATGGGAATGAATGAAAAATCAAGGACAGATGTACAGAGAGAAAAGAAAGCCTGCGGAGGAGCCATGAGACATTCTGACTTTGACAGTACATCAGCAGATAAGCCAGAGAAAGAAAAGCCAGAGAAGAGAAACAGAGTGGTGCTATGAAAACTAAGGCAAAAATCTGAAGAAAGAGAGAGTACCCAATGTTGTCATCCACTCCTGAGTGTCATCTTGGATCTGAAATAACTTAGATTCTTAAGATTAGAAAAAGTATTATCCATATGTCTAAGTCCACAAAGTAAGATATCTGGGATGTCTTATGCCCCCCCCAAATAAACCTATATGGCTATTCACCTGCCCAGATAGTGCAGCACCCAAATCCATCAAAATGTGTAGGATCTGCGAATCTGCTTCTGACAGCAGAGCCTAGGAGCCAACTCTTTCCCCTCCACCCACCATGATAATGAACAATGCCCAAGGCTCTCAGTATTTGATTCAATTTTATTTCTTCAATGGCTGCTTATGAATCTTCCCTTCTCTCTGGAATACATTATCTCTCTCTTCTCCCTCCTCTCACTGTCTCTCTTTCCTAAGCATGGCCCACAGCCAGGAGTGTTGAATGTGATGAAAATCATTAGGATGTGGTCTTTGGATGGGGTATTTAAGTAGTTCATTAATAACTTTTAAGAAGCCAGTTGGAATAAATGGTGTGATGGTTCAAGATTTCAAGGAGTTGAGAAATATTGAGCAGATGAGGAAAGTGGAACAAATGACTATAGCTTACACTTTGCACAAATATCTTTGTAAAGGAAAAAGGAAAGACAGGTTAGCAATCTAATGAGGCATGGTTGTGCATGGTGCAAGCTTTTACAGTTTGGACAGTAGGGTATGTTTCAAGGAGCTAGAGAAGAACTAGCTGAAGGTGCCAGGAAGGGAGAGATAATGGGAAGTAGAGGGAAAGAGAAGGTGGAAATTTATTCATGAAGTCACAAACTCCAGAGAAGGTTAGCTTTATAAACAAAGACAGGATGGGACTTCTCTAAAAATAGGGCAAAAGAATGAAGGACGAGCAAAGGCTGGATGATGATCCACACAAAACTGAGACAGTGGTGAGGCCTTGACCTTGTCAATAAATTATTGTGGAAATGATGCACAGGGTATGGAGAAGGTCAGAACTCCTCTGAGAAGAAAGGTTTGGTACAACCTCCTTGAAGAATTTAACAGAAAGTCAAGAGAAATAAAGGGTGGCTCTGAGAAACAAATTAATTTAGAAATCTGCAAAACAAACATGCCTAGATAATCTATATATAGTCCCAGTTGATT